ACTCTTTCCTAGAGCTCTTAAGACTAATACCTAGATAGACTCCTGAGATCCTTTCCAAAACCTGCCTCTGTTAGCTAGGGAAACTCACCCACCCCAAAGCTGTCAGTCCTGCTCAGCCTCGTTTTCCACAACCAGCTCAATTATTCTGGCAGAAGTCCGAGCTGCCAGTAAGGGTCATATCTGAAAAATTACATAAAACACAATGCTCTGGGAGAAGAAATCAGGCTTTCCTTCAATCCGTGCACCTCTCCGTGTTGGCTGGAAAGGAGCCAGCAGGGCTAAGCCTAGAGACTAGGTATTTTCGTAAGGAAAAAGCCTTTCCCCAGCTCTTAAGCCCTCATCAGCAGTTACATGGTACTACCGGGGAGGCAATCAAAAGCTGCTCCTTAGCTCTCTTTCCACAGGATTTCAGGAGATCTCAATTTGCAGCCTGCTCCTCCTCATTGCTTGAGGGAGCAGCTGAGCCTCGATACCGCTGGCTTAAGTCTGCGACAGTAGCTGCCCTGGAAAGCTTCTCTTGCTTCTTGACTCTTCCAAAGGCATTCTGTCTTGCCTTTGACAAAGATGTGCAGATCTCTGCACCATAATTCATTTCAAGCCCTGATGTTGGTAAGCAGCCAGACAGCTGATCCTGATGTTAGCACTTTACCTTCTTGGATGGACAGGAGATAAATCCAGTGTCTCTTCTTGACTGGAGAGGGCATTGAGGGGGGCATTTGTTCCCGTGTCTCAGACAGTGAAAGACTGCAGGCTATGCAGGTGGCCTGGCCCTCAGACCTGTGGAGAATCATAGAACATTTTGGGCTGGAAGAGACCTCCGCACACAACCGTGTTAGCATCACATGAAGTCAATCAGCAGAATCGAAACTCATCCAGCCTTTCTTCCCCAAATCATATTTCTTCTAAGAAGAAGAAAGCCCCTGCATTTGAGGTGTTGGATATACTCAGCCTCCTCATTTTGTCAGATGGACATGAAAGGCAATCCATTTCCCAAAGGAGAACTTATTTTCCTTAAAGCCTCATCTAACTGGACCTCAAAAAATGATACATGTCTTGCTAGGTGCTCCCAGACTGGACATCTGCAGCGGAGCACAGGGAGCTCCGTAGATGCTTTACCCCTGTGCAATCCGCGTGCGCACTGTCCATCACTGCTGAGAGGCTTTCATGAGAAGCTCCAGCTTGTGCGCATCTGACGTGAATGGCCACACCATTATATTTTGGTAGCCAGTGTCTTTCGTTCCCAGAAAGAGAGTTCCCGTGGGATGGGCTGAGAGAAGCAGAGGGATGTGGTCCAGCCCACAGGACTGTGGAGGAGGGCGAGTGTGGAGCATAGAATCACAGAATCATTCAGGTTGGAAAAGCCCCTTGGGATCATCGAGTCCAACCACTAACCCTACTCGACCAAGCTCACCCCTAAACCATCTCCCCCAGCACCACATCTCAACGGCCTTTAAACACCCGCAGGGATGGGGACTGCACCCCCTCCCTGGGCAGCCTGTGCCAGTGGCTGAGGCTCTCGGCGGTTCCCTGATGTCCAGTCTCACCCTGCCCTGTTGCAGTTGGAAGCCGTTCCCTCTTGTTCTGTCCCCAGTTACCTGTGAGAAGAGACCAGCACCAACCTCTCCACAACGTCCTTTCAGGGAGTTGCAGAGGGCGATGAGGTCTCCCCTCAGCCTCCTCTTAATCAAACTCAACCGCCCCAGGTCCTCCAGTCGCTCCTCATAAGATTTAGTCCCCAGTTCTGTTACCCTCCCCTGCACTCGCTGCAGCCCCTCGAGATCTCTCTTGGATTGAGGGGCCCAAAACTGGGCACAACACTCAAGAGGTGCCCTCCCCAGTGCCGAGTAAAGGGGGACAATCCTCTCCCTGCTTCTCCTGGTCACACTAGTTCCAACACTGGCCAGGATGCACTCCGAAAGTGAAGGCTCTCCAACCCAATAGTGCCAGCACCAACAAAGTAAACAGATCTGGATAAGTCGAAAGAAATTAAATTACAGCATTCGGTACACAGCGAAGGATCTCATCACTCTGTAGTACTCTGCTAAGCTTTTACAGGGTTGTTTTTTTTCCAGAATGAGATGGGCATTCAAGGATCTTAAAGCTCCCTAAGTTGTTTTCAGCAGCAGGGAAATGCTGATGCAGCTGAGCAGCTAAAGTTGGAACTCTCGTTGGTCTAATAGTCTTCTCCCAAGGCTTTTAGCAGCATGCAACATCAAATAGGTCTCCTAAACTGTAGGCTGAGCTCCGACTCTGGCTTCTCCGGGTGAAATGGCTAAAACACGTGGTATTTTATATGTATGTTCAACATAAAACAAGTGTTTCCTGCCCAGCACTCCTGTGGCAAGTGTAGTCTGGCTACTTGGGCTACGGCTTAAAGCATTGATTTTCTCTAGGAAGACAGTGATTATTTTGGTTTGGAGAGCTGCTGGTCTGGTTTGGGTTTGTTTCATATTTTTTTTGAATTGCATTGAATGTATCAGGGTCTCATTGTAAGAAAGTTTCAGTCATCCTAAAGGAAAAAAAAAATTGGAAATTACTTAGCTATGATAGATTTTAAATGACATTATTACCAAAAAAGTACCGTGCTTGGACTTCATCCTAGGAAGATTAGTTTCTCTGGTAGGCTCCCTAGGCTGAGCAATGCAAAACTCAAAGGTGGCAGGGCCCAGCTCATGGCCTCAAATTCAGGATCCTGGAACCATAAATTGGAAATCTTGGGCTTTGGTGAGTCCCAGGGCTTTTCCACATCTTTTCTGACCACCTTGTATGAAGAGGTAGGACAGCTGCTCTTGAACTAGAGACCCTACAGAGCCTGGATGATTAGAGTGGAGGGGCTGCAGGAAGTCCTCCTGGGATTCAGGAAGAAGTCGTGGGACGCAGAACTTTCCTTGCCTGCCACAGTTAGCAATGAATGCACTTGAATCTCAGCACCAGAAAGACATGGACCCGCTGGAGCGGGTCCAGAGAAGGGTCACAAAAACGATGACCGGGATGGAGCACATTTACCCTGTGAGGACAGGCTGAGTGAGTTGCAATTGTTCTGCCTGGAGAAGAGAAGGCTCCAAGGAGACTTTCCTGCAGCCTTTCAGTACTCAAGGGGGCCTGTGAGAAAGGTGGGGACCATCTTTTTAGTGGGATCTGTTGCAATAGGACAAGGGGTAATGGTTTTAAACAAAAAGAGGGTAGATTCAGACTAGATATGAGGGAGAAATTGTTTACGCTGAAGGTGTTGAAATGCTGCCATGGGTTGCCCAGAGAGGTGCTAGAAGCTCCATCCCTGGAGACCTTTGATGGGGCTCTGAGCAACCTGATGGAGTTAAAGATGTCCCTGCTAATTGCAGGGGGATTGAACTAGGTAACTTCTAAATGTCCCTTCCAAACTATTCTGTGATTGACCATGGAGAGGAAATATCCGCAGAGACCCACTTGTGTGACGGTGCCCTCCTTGTCACTCTGTTCTTCCCACAGGTTGCATCTCCGACAGACACAAGCAATTTTGACAGCTTCCCAGAGGACAGTGATGAACCACCCCCTGATGACAACTCAGGATGGGACATAGATTTTTAATGTATTTCTCTTACCTGCTTCTGCCTTGCTGAAGACAGCTTCCTGGGACGTGGCTGCCAGCGAAACCGAACGAAATGGGGAGGATTAGTGCTCGGGGTCACCATGATGCCTTGATTGATGCTGCTACAGTAACTACAGTGGCATTAGGACTTACCGCTTTAGATGACGATAGTGCTCTTCATGTTTTATGTTCGAACTTAAAACAGCAGTTGACATGGTGGTCCTGACGCAAAGCCCTTCACCGGTAAAGAAACCCGTTTCCTATCACTGCGACGACAGTCTTGCTACGCTCTTAATTACACAAGTCGAGAGATACGTAGTGTAAGATGCACTTAATTCTAGCTGCGAGGTACTGGCTTTATGAGTAGGATCCATAGTAATTTATTAAGTGCTGTAGCTAAATACAGCGCAGGATTTGGGCTACTCCCACCCTCCTGGCTCCAAAGGTCTTCTGCTGCCGGCCAGTGTAGGAGCAAAGGAGGACCACAACGGTACTGGTCAAAGAGTTCACGTCAAAGCAGCGGTAAAACTTGTCCTTTCCCTTTTCCGAGCAGTATTGCTGACAAGACTGAATGTTAGCTTTCCTTTTTCTTTTAAAGAATCTTTTTCTTTTTTTTTAGCCTGGTAAAACAAAAGCACAACTGCTCTAGAGCCTGTTTATGGCAGATATGGGTCGCTTCTCTCATACAGCTGAGAACATACTGTAACACAACATTTGGATGGGTTTTTTCCCCTTTTCTCTTGGTAAAAATACGTAACTGCATGAAAAAAAATCATAAAATTAATCCATTTTACATATAAAATAGTGCTTAAGTAATGGTCCTGTAACAACGAGACAGCAGCCCACTGATCTTCTTGATTAGGCATAAAACTAAGCTTAACTTCTAATTTTTTAGAACTCAAAGGGAAAAACAGAAGACCCGTAATTTACTTTATAGGTGCTATGTGCATCCCACATCTGTGACTGTAACTGTTCAGTCAACCACCGTTTCCAAAATATGTAGCAAGAGGCATCATTCTCCATCAGACTCATAGATGATTTTAAGTCTCCGCATCCACATCTCTTCCATGTTTAGCACAAAGCTAATTAAAATTAAAAGTGGTACTGGGCTAGCTTGCTGGCTCCTTTTGTAACATTGCCCCCCCTCCCCCCAAATGCCTAAACCAGGGACTCCATAGGAAAGTCAGTGGAATTAAATGGAAAAACTGATTTATAGGATGCAACAGAGGAATTCTGTCTTGGATGTCTGTTTGTTGCGTGGACAGGGGGCTAAAAGTTTATCCCGTCACACGAACAAGAAACGTGAACTTTCAGTCTCTGCAACAGACTCTCCCCCAAAAAATTAGCAGGGGCTGCCTGTCTCATCTCGGGAGTTTCTGTATACGCTGGAAGTTGAAAGATCAACTTGAGCTGAAGCGTCATTGCTGTGAGTGTTACTTACGTAGTACGTGGGAAATACGTGTTTTATCAGTAAAAAATTATTTCCCCTACGCTAAAGCCCAGCTCTTTCCCGTGCTCCTGAGTAAAGCAACTTAATAGAGAGTATTAAAATGGTATTTTGAGAAATATATGACAGGATTGACAATGTCTGCTGTTTGCTGGCCAACTGTAGAGTTTGGTCGTCGCGATGTCGTTGAAACGCGTCTGTGTGTCACTGAATTCCCTTCCCGATTTCCTGAAGGCCGAGGCAACACCGTCGGCACAGTGACAGCAGGGATTTAAAAGATGTGGAGGTGAGGTGCGTAGTGATGTGGTTTAGTGGTGGACCTGGCAGTGCTGGCTTAATGGTTGGACTTAATGGTCTTCAAGGTCTTTTCCAACCTAAACACTTCTATGATTCAGGATGCTTCCACTATTCATTAATCATGAAAAACCTCATTTGCCTTCAAAACCATGGGGAAAAGCCAGTAATGATGTCTGCTGTCACTTAGGGCAAAGGCTTTTCAGCCTTTGAGGGACAGAAAGCACCGAAAGTTGACACTGCCAACGAGGGCTAAAATTATCACCGGGCTCTTCTTAGCAAACCGACCGCTGTCTAAAAGCCAAATTCTTCGCTCACATCACTCAACAAAAGGAGAAAACTTGTTGCGGTTGGCAACATCCAGTAGAAGAACAGGAAGAGGAGTTTGGCCCAAAACGAGGGTGTTTAGTAGCTGAGGTGCCAGTGGCCAGTCTAGGGGTTGCCGAGAGGAAAGAGCCTCACAATGATTCTGGCAGTGGCAACCCCAAAATAAAAGTTACGGGATGAAGGTTTTGAAGTGGGCTGAGGTGGTTTGGTTTTGTTTTTTTTAATTTTTTCCTGTCCCTTTTCCCTTGTGCCGCACCTGGCGATGAATAACCGCAGCGTGCACTCCAGGGGATCTTAAGTTTATTTTGATATCGAACGCCTCGCCGCTCATCGCCTTTCCCAGGCATACTTTAAGCAACACAGTTAGCGTATGTATATGATAAACGCCTTCATTTACAAGTAATATATTTGAGTTGCATTATACATATATATATATATATATATTCACAACAGCGGATTGCCTCTGCGTTTCCACTTACTGTCCTTTCTTCTTTGTCTCCTTTTATAATATATGGGACGAGGGCGTATTTACGTGGGGGGAAATCAACTGCCGTGTCTAAAATGAAGGTATTAAGGTGGGTGTCGTTAAGACACAGACGGTCCGTAGCTTCTCACAGCGCTGCATTTTCCACAGCAAACTCTTATTTAAACAACAGGACCACGAAGCGAGTAGTTATGTAAATAGGTATTTCCGTGTTGATATTTTGTGGTACACATATAACTTTTTCTTTTAGGGTTCCATGGCATTAACTACTTTGTTTTCTTATTTGTAATGTAATGTTTTTAGCTCCAGGTAGACTTGAATTAATGTCATAATTGTCAGTATTATTAAAATTTATGTCAACTGTACTGTTAACTCATTTGTCCCATAGTTTTAGAACACGACTAGCTATCTGGCATTGTTGCAAGTGCCTTAAATCCATGGCATCCTATTAAAAAAAAAAAAAAATTACAAATTTGGTGTTATGCTGCATGACAAAGACAAACACACCTCAAAATGTCGTCCTTTCTTAGCTTGCTGCGTTTTACAATTCTTTCTGCTACCGATTTCTAAGCCTTTATTATATGATATTGATGAATTACAGAAATGATGACGTCGTTCTCTTATTTCTGTTCAATGTACCAGAGCTGTGTATCTGTTAATGAGATACAGAGTCATTTCTGTGAAATGTATAAATGTTAACGTGCAGGTCAAATTAATATATGACATCCTTATCAGTCTGTAGACAGGTATTCCTGTTTCGCTAAGCTGCGCAGATTCAGCCTGTCGTGCCGTCCAGCGCCAGCCCATAAAACCCTTCAGAAACCTTACACAACCCCCTCCCTCAGAAATCTCCCACTTGGGAAAAACAAAAACAAACCAAAACCATAAAAACCACCAAGAAATGGCTCTTTGACCCCAAAAAACCCCAATGCAAAGGCATAAGCTTTGCAACAAAACAGGATCCGTGCTTCCCCCCACACACGCGTGCCCCAGCTCCTTCTGTCCTCAGCCCTCGGCAGAGGCGAGCGCCTGGAGCTGGAGGAAGCTGGAAGCTCCTCATCCTCCCCATAAACCAGCCGAGATTTGGGTGGTTTTGGGGGGCTCTGCTGGCAAAAGGGGAATTTTTTTTCACCCAGAGCTGCCTATCGTCCTGAGTCCCGATTTACGCTGTTTTCGCACCAGCCCTGCATTTTTTATTCCTAGTTCCTTCAGTTTTCTTCTTACCTGGAAGAGGTTTTGTTTGTCGGACAAATGTTGGTCATCCCCCGGTCGCTGGCCGGTCGCACTCTTGATGTAGATTTAAGAACTTTTTTTTCATAAACTTTATTGGCTTTTGTTTCGCTCTGTATTTTCCCTGCAGCTGTAATTGCCGAGTGCCTGTTGTATACTTTATAGAGTTGAAATAAAAATAATTACTTTTGAGCGGCGCGTTGGCAAGCCTTTTTTTTCCACGGCAGAAGCCAAGTTTGGGAGAGTTCTGGTTAGCAACTAAAATTGGGAGGGGGGTTATTCTCATTTATGGCAACACGCAGTAAGAGATAACCAACCACAATGTGGGGTGCTTGGATTAGTGCTGGGATCCAGATTTTTTTCTAAGCAATCAGCCTACTTGCAGCATGTTTACTCTTCAGGGGTGAAGGATCCGCTTTTTATTTTTGATTGCTGCCAGCATAAGGGAGTCCAGGGTGCGCGGGTGGGAAGGGACCCTAGTTCCAACGAGTTGTGTCACCTCCGGATGGGACGTGGCTACAAATATCACCTGTGTTAAATGGCTCATGGGTGATGGCGTCCTTGTCATGACGCGTCTTCGTCTTGATGGTCTCTTACGGGAAATGCCAAGAGGTGGTGACAGAGGCACGAGCAGGAAGACGTCGCCTCGGTACGCAGGGTAGCTCAGTCAGTTGAGCGTGGCACCAGCAACGCCAAGGTCGCGGGTTTGATTCCGGTTCGGTCCCCATGCGTTGCCTGATCTAGTCGAGAGGTGGCGTCCCTGGTGACTGGGAGGTTGGATTAAAATGATCTCTAAGGTCCCTTCCAGCTTAGGCCAGTCTATGATTTAGGATGCTGAGACCCTGCCTGGCCCAGTGGGTTCAAATCCATCACTGGGAAACTGCTGAGCCGCCGTGCCACACGACTCTCGTCTTTAAATCTCAGCGAGGCCAAGGTTAAGGGTGTACTTATGTGAGCACAGACGTTAAAAACTGGCAAAGGAGCAAGAAGGCATCCTCCCAGGGGGAAATAAATTTGGTAACTGCCTAAGCAGGAGCCGGGAAACATCACAAAATGACATTGCAGGCTGTAGCAATCACAGACTGGGGGAGTTAATAATGCAATAAAAAGCCCAGGGGTGACGTGGCCATCACCTGAAACTAGAAGGGGAACACGGGGGTTTCAGGGCAAGGTGTGGCCCTCATTCTTGCAGGCTGAAAATAGCATTGCCCCACTTCGCCCAGCACCCAAGGCAGGTGCTCGACGAAACTTTCCCGGCCAATTATTAGCCCGCAGTGACCCTTTTGTGGCCTGAAATACCTGATAGCAGTGTTCCCGAGAGCCACCACTAGCACCCACGAGGTTTGTGGGTTTGGTTTTTTTCCTTCATTGCAGGACTGCTTGGAAATCACTCCCAGCTTCGTGGGAATAAATGTTTCAGGAGGTCTGGGGCAGTGCTGCATTGTTTAGGCTGGTATTTTATTTCAAATCCCCCATATATATAT